GTATTTATTACTTTCTGAAATACCTATTGTCATAGTTCAATTATTGGGGATAAATTTTCGTTACACGAATTGTTATGTTGTAAATCTGTGCAGTGTTTTATAAATTTGTTAGTTGTCACGAGTAATACTTTTGATATTTTTAAATTTCATACAGGACTAAAAATACATTAGTTTGTTTTTTTTAAATGTTCAAGCCTTTCATTAACACGATTAATAATAGCCACATTGGATTAGGTAAAAAATTAACTTTCAGCTGTAGCAAAATAATTCTGACAATTCCGCTGTAGGTACGCCCGTATCACATTACATGCTCGTATTTAATCGTGCGGGATTAAAAATATTGATATGGTAGCAGCATACACCATGCAGTAATAATCAGATTTGTTTATTTATAATTAAAATCTATTTTATTTGATATTTCATTCATTTTTTAAATGACACTAATGGCAGCAAATGCAAATTTACCTTATACATATGTTTAATAAATATCTTATTCCCTAAAATCTGAATGAACATTATAGAAATATAAAAGGCGTAATTTTTTATATTATATTACGCACCACAAATCATATAAATTCATAATATCTAAAAATAAAATGCTAGCCCTAATTATTCACTTAAAATTGCCGTCCGGTGCAGACGTACCGCTTCGCGTGCCTTAAGCCAGACATGGTTCTAATATTACAGGATTATTTTAATTGGATTTATGAAATCCGTCAATTTTTTTTATCCAAAAATATAGTTGACGAAAAATGATTAGCTTCCAGTCGTACAATGTGTGTGTCCACGCAAAGTGGGGAACTATGTCCCCCTCTCCTGTCAAAATCATTCAAATTGGATTCAGTATAAATAATACGTATACATAGGAAGTCGGAAACGGTTCACTATAACAGCAGCAAACAGCTGGAATATTATACATTGTCTATTATACATATTTTATACAACAGAGCATGGTACGGTCGATTTATATTACAGGATCCCAGTAAAACCTTTTGTGATATTTACGAGATGATTCACCAAATACGATCGATTCCATTTTTTCATTTATTGACGAATTTATTCAACTTCCGATTTTTGCAATAATTAAATATACTCAGAGACCGTATTTTAAAATTCTAGACAATTTTTTATACTACTTAAAGATTATTTTGAGGTGGATACCAAACTTCTGTTTTTCAGCAAAAAAACCTCGGTAAAATATAAAATTAACCTTGTTGCGATAACAACAAACTATAAATATATTTTTTTTAAATCAAATAATTTCAACGCTACAGTTTACTGATCAATAACAAAACGCCCGTGTTGTCTTAACTAATTATGATTTAGAAAATTACATATCCGAAAGCTTGTCCTTCTGAAATGTGGATGTCTCATTCGAAACGATTTGAACACATCGTACAAATTTTTACCAATACTAAAAATTCAATCTGGTCCGTCATTAACCATATTTATTTATTTGTAAATAAACAACGATTGAATTGCACACTGCACATCAATCAAATTTTTACTATACCTGGAATATTTTCCGTTACAGCAGACTGCCAGTCCTCAGTCTGTAAAAGAGGAAAAAAAATTTTTGGTTTTTTAAGTTTGACGGGGCTCTCGATCGGTGTCCAAAAACAGACTCATCAATAATTTGTAGATGTTATGAGAATTATAGTTTTTAGCTTTGAATTTCACGGGACTTGATTCGTGCCAAAATACGTTTTTTATCGGGACTCGATTCGAACGCAGCCCCGAACAAATACAATGTCGACGGGCCCGCTGACATGAACTCCTGCGCGGCCCTTACAACGATACAATACCTCCAGGACGTCGAAGGACAGAGGAATACGCGATAATGCGATGCATAGGTGTCTATATATATCGCGAATGCGTGTGCGGCGAGCGTAGGAAAACGAACAGCTGTATCCGAGTGTGAGCCGCGTGCGTCTGAATTTGGGTCACGCGAATATATAACGGCGGCACCGGCTGGCGAGTGAAACAAAAATATAAAATAATAACTACATTATAAAAAAAAAAAAAGGGTTGTGGTAAGAGATGTAGAGTTGATGGCGGAGTGAAACGCAGACCGCTCGCCGGTACCGACCATAATATTATCGTTGTTGTTATCACTATCACCATCGTCGGTTCGTCACCGCTGGCCTGAGGCGTCGCAATAACGAAATAATACGCGCACATAATACATACACATATTTAATATTATTTATATATAAATATGTGTTTATACAGCTTACAGATGTTCCGATGACGACAGTTCGTTTCGAGCGCGGCCGATCGACCAAAATGACCGACAAAACGCCCGCCACCCGAACACACGGCGCAGATGTGTGCAAAATTCAAAAACACACCGCCCGCCGAACGGTTGCACGCCTCGTCGTCCGTTGGCGTTTCGCGTGGTATTGTGTATAAATTACATTTTGACGGTTATAACTTATAAGTCTTGGAAACGGTATTAATTTTTTTTTTGTTCCCGACAAACTGTCGAACAAAAACGATTATTGTGTTTCGAGTTTTACGCGGGAACGAAAGCAAAATTGTTTCTGAAAAAAACAAAATAAATAAATAAACGGAAACAACGTGGCGTATACAATATATAATATATGTGATTTATATTTTATATATAATTCAATGTTCTTACAAAGCGCCAATGTAAATATTTAAAACTAACATAATCGTAAATGGTATTGACTAGAGCCATACATTATATATAAATCGCGTGCTAAACATTTTACCCTTGATGACGACAAAAATATAAATATTTAGTTTAATAATAATAAATAATCATTAAATTTCAACTACCGAAAGTATCGGCAAAAACAATTAAAACGATGATCTACGATTAATATAATAAATTTATCGTAAATACATATAGAATTTAGATGGTAAACAATTTTTTTTTTTTAATATAGATAAACCCGAAAATAAATAATTATAATAATATTATAAGATCATATTATAATATCGAACAAAAATGTATAAAATGTAATTTAAACATGTAATATAACGGCTTAATATTATGGTAATATCAATAATAATAAACATTTCGGGGTAAAGGTCATCGAGGAAGCTCTGAGGGTGATGGTAAGTAATTTAGTTTTAAAATGTAAACAGCAACAATAATACACGATCGTTAGGTAAATAATTATTATAACAGCTCGATTCATAAAAACGCAAAAATACAAATACTTAAAAATTAAAACACTTAAACATTACTCGCGAAACAATAAAAATATCAGTAATTGTCAATACACGATGATTGACATAAAAAAATAATAATAATTAAAATCACTTTTTCACAAAATAAAAATAAAGTAGTATAAAGTATAGTTTGTCCGTGTTGACCATGTATATATGTATATAATATATAAATATTTAAATGGTACTTATCTAAAAATAAATATGTAAATAACGAACGTGACCATATTATATTTAATATTATATAAATACTACAATATAATATATATATATATATACATATATCATGTATCTACGTTTCCTATTCAGAGTATACTTTTTTTGTTCAAAGGATATAGTGACTAAATTTAAATAACTTTTTTGCGTGCGAAGCGAAAAACACAAGTGCGGGATCCGGTGAACACGGCCAGTGAAAAAGGTGTGGGTGGAGAGGGGGTGGAGAGGTGAACACGCGTTTCGGGATGAAAATGTTATCGTCTCGAGCAGTATGATAACATTAGTAAGTCAATACGATGACGGTTTGCGGGTAATAACAACATTATATCTGAATAGCATATTTGTGATAAGGTGCATATTATGAGAATGATATTTTATGTGAGGGAAACAAAATGCGCCGCGCGGGAGAGAAGAAAATAAAAAATAAGTATTAGTCACATGGTTATTGCTCCTAATAAAACGTAACTGGCACGAAAACGAAATGTCGTTAAAAACAAATTTTAATCGAGTCGTCAAGAGTGCGGTTTCCGCGTGGCGCGAACGAAAACATTTTTGAGACGTAGTTTATATTATGCTAGTATAATAATATTATTTATATTATTATGGGTTGCTGCTGCTGCACGTGCGTACCACCGAAAATGGAGAGGCGGTGTGTTCGTGCGCGGGAAAAGTGCATGGGGAACTCGAGACGGAGTGGTATACATTATATATTATATTAATTTTATACCATTATAATGTGTAAACATTTTGTTGTTTATTAGTTATTACACTCTATTGTTTCGACCGTCGGGACGAAAGAAACGCACCTACCCCGCTCGTCGTCTTGTTCGTAAAAAATAAAACTTAAATTTAAAACGTATGGCACTATAATAGTATAAGTATTACGATGTAATAGGTGTGTATAACCGTATAGGGATTGTGTTGGAAAACTATTTTCGTTGAGCGTGATTAATAGTTAAAAAAAAATAACTATGTTACGATACATTGATTTGGATCTCAGTTACTGAGAATAAATAATATTATATGGTGCGTAAGGCATTGTGAAATAATCGTCAACTTGAGAGTCCAGTGTATGTCTATGTCGATGACATATATTATTATTATGAGTGAGTGGGTTATACGTTTGCAAAAAAAAAAATAAAAATAAAAATAATAATAATAATTCGTCAGACTTTTCGTATAATATTGTACGCGTGTACCTAACTTAACTTCGTAGTAAAACGTATAGACACTACATAATATATAAATATTAAATTGTTAGGCTTAAACGGTTATATTTGTTCAAAATTGGAGAAATTAAAGTTCTAAGAAGGTTCTTCCTACCACTCCTCCTGTATGGCAGTAGGTATATATACATATAATTAATATATAAATATTTTTCGTAATTTTTATTTATACGTTATATTTTAATATTGTTGTTATTATTACTATTACTATGTGTATACACGCGCAGCATCCGATAACGTGGGGAGGGACGAACTCTGGACGTATATCATCATCATAAATCATAATATTAACATTTACATTATTGAACAAAAAAGGAAAAACAATTATTATTTTGAGATCTTTTTGTGTTTTTTTCTTCGAGTTAAGGTAAATTAAATTTATCTCTATATTTATACACACACACACACACACACACACGCACACATATTATATAACGTACAATTAGGTCAGTGCGTATATCAAGTGTATATGTGTGTGCGCGTGTGTGTGTGTGTGTGTATGTGTACGAGTGATGACGTGGTGGAAGTGGGGAAGGGAAGAGAGCCGACGGCCGCGTTCAACCGAAACACACGTCCAAACAGTAAATCAGACAATTACAAAAACAGCTGTCCGAACACTTTTTCTTGTTCTTCTTGCCGGCACTGCCGCTGTTCTTCTTGTTCTTCTTGCCGCGGCCCGTACAGCAGAACGACCGTTTTGGCGAGTCGAACTCGGACGATTGGCTACTGTCGTCGCCGTCGCCGCCGTAGTGGTGCGGATCACCCGCGGCGCCCCCCCTGAACGACGACGACCGCCGCTTGATGACGTACGACAGTCCGCCGCCCGCGCCCGCCATCCCGTGGTTTCGTTTCGCCCGCGCCGTGGCCATGTACTCGAGCGTCTCCTTGGTCAGCCGCTGGCACGTCCACTTCGGCTGCTTGGGGTTGAGTATGTGCTTCATGAGCACCGCCGTCTCCTGGGCGTTGAGCAGGCCGCTGGGCATCGGGCCCGATAGGAACTCGTTGGCCGTCATCTGCAGGTAGCGCACCGACAGCAGTACCGTGTCGTCCAGCACCGCCCGCCGGTTGGCCACCGTCAGTTCCAAGTGCTGCTGCTTGCACTTGTGCGTGCACCACCGCTCCAGCGTCGTGAACAGCACCTGCGCACAACACCGCACAAACGAGACGTGAGTATAACGACGTACTACATAATAATATAATATAACGTTATATGTGTTCATATTATATTATTATTTGATGCGCCGTGCGTGTAATACGACGACAACGTGAAAATACATAAATTATCATCAGAGTGTTATTACAACATTTGATACTATATGTATAATGTACTTAAGTCTAGATCTGCACGTGTATCGATACATTGCACTGCGTTGTACGCATAAAAAAAAAAAAGGAATAGGATTCCGTGATATAGAAATCATTAAGCATAGTTTACTCGAGAGGGTAGGGTGTTGAACGACTAATCGTCAGTACGCCACAATCGCGGGCGAATGTAAAAAATAAAAACCCTACCCGTATATACACTTGAAGCGATTGACTGATGAACAACGCAATAAACTAAACCGTTCAGATAGATACGAGTAGAAGCTATCAAAATCGGCTTGTAATTCAAGACCGTCGTTGATGGAGAATAATACTCCCGTATAGAATTGTTCGTCATTTAGCAAACTCAGTACGAGACAGTGGCGCGAAACTCGTTGAACACCGTTAATTAATTAGGAAAACAGTTTATAGGAGACCGATAACCCCTCCTCCTTGTGAGACCACCGATGAAGCCAACTAGAACATTAAAAGCTCTGTTTACTAATAACGTGAGTCAGAGCTTAAACTCAAAAACTACGAAGTCAATATATATATATGTTAACATTTCGTTTCAAAATGGGATCGATAATAAAATTAATCAAAAATGTAATTGCAGCACGGGAGATTATAAATGTTATAGTAAACTCGGGTGAAAACAGAAGTTAATATTTCATAAGGACACGATTGGTAGATGGTAGAAAAACATTTGAGGCAAGAGGGTCAAATATTTTAGATACATAGGGTTAAAAGGAAATAAGTCGATAATTGAAAACAACAAGGCAATTAATAGATAACTGGACGTACAAAATAATATATTATATTATACACGTAGTGGACCACCACTATTGTCTGTTGTAGTTTATCGTCCGTATTACATATTAGGTATCTACGTAAATATTATTATAATACATTATTGGCGTCCATCCATAGATAGTAACTAAATTTTTACTGCAAAAGTTAATAGTTCAAGTTAGTGAACTTAACACGTTCACGGGCATGGCGTACATTACACTTGTAAAGACATTTTATGAAAATTTTATAATTTATACCAGGAAAGAGCTGAAAATAAACATTTTTTGCCACTTTGTGTGATTTTGATTCAGCGAAGTAAGAATAAGATAAATAGAATGTATAAAAACAACTCCAGTATAAAGGTGACACAGTCACCTAAAAATTAATATGACAATATAGCTGGATATAACCCCTAACCTCCCAAGACTCCCTCTCCCTAACAACGTCACTGACGACACACACATAAGTATATAATTATATTATTATGTCTTGGTTCAAGACTAAGTACAATAACTAATACACGAGCGACGCCTCACCATTTCGTTGGACACGGCTAGTCCGTCGCGAAGCAACAGTTCCCTGAGCTCGACCGTATCCAGTTCGTCCACGCTCTCGTCAGTCATCACCCGATCAGCGTTCCTGTCGATGAACGCCAAGCAGTAAGCCAACAGCGTGTCGTAGTGCTGTACCATGCGAGCGAACGCCTCGGAGTGTGCGTCATCGGCAGCCACGGCCGCCGGCATTAGGTCTTGTAGCGGCGGCGCAGTGGCCCGAGCCGTGGCCGCCGGCGAACAAGCAACAGATTGTTCGCGGCGCGGCGCAGTCTGACCGCCGTACAGCCTGGCCGCCTGGTACACCACGAGCACCGTGTCCACGGTCAGGTTACGAGTCAGATAGGCGATGCACTTGTCTACCAGGTCCACGCACATGTACTTGTTGGCCAACCCGAGCGTCTCGAGTGCGGTCACCACGGATTTCAGTTCCACCGTGTTCTTGTACATGAACCTACGACGAAACCAACGGAATTTATGTATTAACAATAGGTATTGGTAAATTTTATTATTATTTGATATTGTATATTTCAATTCCGGTTAAGAAATGGATTTAAAGGTTAATAACGTTTTGAAGCTCAAGTCCCCCATCCGTTTCCTTTTACAATCCAACCCCTATTAATAATCAACTTTTCATTTTTGTCAATAAACTTTCGTTCAGACCAAATACTTAGTTTATTAACATACGATCCTAAAATAAACAATTATTTCTCAATAAAATCAATAGTTTAAGCTTTTTAATATTTATTTATTTATTTTGATAAATCATTCTTGAAAAAGGTTTTAGAAATTAATCATACAATTACTAATAAATTTGCATTTGTTTATTAATTAAAAGTTCTTTATTTTGGATATTTGCTACTTGTACAATGTTACAAGATACATGTATAATGTAACAGACGAGAGTTTAATTATTGCACATAATATTTATGATAATGACAGTGTTAAAGTTATTTTACGTTTCTATTTTAAAACTTTGTATGAGTAATCTACATTAAAGAACAAAACGTCATTATAAAAATTAAAAGAAAATTTACTTATGAAATATCATTTGATTTATTGAGTATATATTATCGTGTAAATGAATCTCTAAACCTTCAAACTTAATATGCACAACAATTTTTTTTTTTTAATGGCACAACTCCAAAAAGTATATCAGACACGAAAAATAATTTAGGTTAAAATTGGTAGAGAACGGAAGAAAATTCTTTAAAATCTTCCTCATTTATTATTATTATAATCAGTTGGATGGAATCAATCAACAATTACTTTAATGGAATAAATTTCGATACATATTTGATAAAAATGCTTTTCTTAGAATTTTCTGCAAATTTTACAATAATCACTCTTATAAATTATGATCTGTAATCAATATAAAATCAAATTTAAATTCCCTTGAATTTAAGAACCTATTTTACTTACTATGATAGATCTAGAAAATTAATAATTTTTTTATTGTCAATAAATAAAAAAAATCTTGATTTGAACAATTTAAAATAAAAAACGATATCAAAGATAAATTAAAATAAAAGCAAAAAGTGATTTACAATAATATCTACTGTTAACAATAGTGATATAACATATTTTGTATACCTATCAAATACAATATACTGTCTAACAGTAAAAATAATTGATTAAACCTATACGCATCAACTATAATATGCGTATATAACAAATATATTTAAAAAAATTATTAAAAATTATAATATTATTTTTTTTTTTTTGAAAATTTAGAAATTTAAGGAAATTATATTACATTTTAAATGTTAGTGTTTTCATCGTTTTCTTATAGTTACTATGCATCAATTTCCATTTCTAAAATTAAACGTATTCACTGTAGGTGTATGAGTCACAACTGTAGTAACACATTATCAAACGGATATTTAAAAGACTAAAAATAGATTATAAAAAACCTAACTAATCTAAACTGTTTGTATTTAATATATATTGATGCTTTTATTTTTGTTTCATCGATTAAATTCGTTAAGCTCGTGCGTGAAGCTTCGAGTCGTTGATATTGACAGTAATAATGTTAAAAAGAAAAAAATTTAAGTGATCGATAAAAGATTAAGCCAAAGGAATAAATATTATAATAATTCAAGTTGCCTGTAACAACGTGTAACTAAAACATTTACATGACTTCTTTATTTATGGACAAAAATCAGAAAAAAAATTTTTCAATAATTTAATAAGTAAAGTGCAGACGCATATTAATGGTGATTGAAGTAAGGGGTTTCCGAATGTTTTCAAAAAATATTTATTTTTGAACATAGCCATGTAAGATTAATCGTAATTTATTAATTATTTATACTTATGAATCTCCCCTTCTTTTTAAAATATTTTCTGTAACACAGGCCTAGTAAAGTTACAAACTTACAACTAATAGATAATGACCAGTTTATCTCACGTATATTATATTCATACACCTTATAAAAAAACTTTGTCCAAAAACATATACATATATTGAATGGAATATATGTATATCTGACACCGTTGTTCATTGAGTAGGTATATAAATTCTAAATAATTTATACTCAATGCTAATACAATGACATACTATGATAACTGATAAATTTAAAATTTTAGCACAGATATTATTTTTAAATGTATAAGAATACTATATACTTGCGCTTTATGGTTTGTATAAATAAGATGCTTAAGTACTCATATATTCAAGGACAATATGATATTATATATTAAACGAATGAAAAAAAGTTTTGAATTGTTATAATGACAACTATATTATGCCACACACGCCGTTGTAAAAAATATATAATTTATTTATTATTTGCCATTTTCTTATCTCGACAGGAAAATGTATGCATACACACAAACAGGATAGTACTCGTAAATAATCGTTTTTTGAAGTTAATATAATAAGTGAAAAATTTGATGACTATTGTTTTTTTAATCTATTTACATTTCTGACCTAAATGTACAACACATTTTAATTATTTCCACCTAAGTAGCATGTTATAATGTATCGCATACATCGATAAATTATATATATAAATTTTAAAATAGATACTATATATGCATATATTTCATGTATAACTGTAGACAAAAATATACTTCAGTATGCATTCTTTGATAAACACATTTTGTAATTTAAATTTATTCATGTACTCGTATACATAAAGCAAACAGCAGTTGAAGAATTGTAAAGAATATTAGTTCCTGTTAACCCGCTGTCGAGTTCCATAAATTAAGCCAACTGTGTAGTATGTTAGTATATTATTATAGTATACTCCAGCATTGGCTCACACAATCGGCTTAATTAAATCATATTATCAAAAAATACTAAACAGAACAATCAACTACACTCTACAACTACTCTTGACGCTTTCGAACATAATATTTGTAGGTAAAATTGTGAGTATAACAGTTTCAGCGTCAATTTTGGTATCTAAACTTAATTGAAATATAATAATATATTAATATCATTAATATATCAACATAAATAACTATAATAAATTTCAGTATACCTATTTGTTCATTTTGTATACTAAAACTTCATCAAATTCAAACATTTTTTTAATAGACAACGTAGGTGGGTTAACATACGTTAACTTACGTACGTTGGTACTTGGCACAGTTTTTTGTTTTATATTAAAGTATATTATAAATTATAATATACAGGTACAATTACTATATACATAGTACATATTATATTTAAATTTTCCAGCAAGTTTTAAAGAAAAAATGAATATATTTAAACACACGTGTAATTTATAATTAAAATTTAACTTTAAACGATATCGGTTTAGTTGGCATAAACTCAAAAATGTAATATTGTAATCATTTCCGATTAATTTGTGCCCATAATTAACCCTGTAGGTATAATAATGATTTTTTGTAATTTACGTTTTTATTAAAGCTGTAAATGGCGTGTTTTCGAAACGACAGTTTCAAGTTCTCACGAGTAGCATATAATATTGATCGATTCAAGGAAGAAGTAGAAACACACCGATACTATCTGTCGTCCTTGTCTAACTATTATTATAACATGACGTGCTAGCTCAAGCAAAATAAAAATTATTTTACGTATTATTATTATTTATTACCTATTAATTTATTAAACATTCTTATGAGTTATGTCAATCGTTAATAAACGGGAATAAACAAAACAAAAACAAATTTAAAAAATACCAAATACTATATAATATTATTATGCATAACAATATTGTCATTAATAACGATATATTATCATATAAATGAATAAATCAAACAAGTCATTGAGTTTATTTTTAAATTTAATTTTTTTAAATTTTTAAACCAAATTCTTATAGAAAAAATATTTAGTAAAATTGTTTTCAACTTTAAATGTAAATAATAATACATGGTAATTTTGTTTCAAACAACGATGATTGATTTTCCTTTAATATTGCAGTACCTATATACTATAATAATTACGTCGTGCGAAACCCTCTAGAGTCTATAGGACAACGTGATTGCGATCAATATATTTCTACGCAAGTTCAACCGTAATGTATAAATTATGTGTTTAAAAAACATTTAAAAAAAAAAAACAACAGCTGTTTCCAAACTGGAGTCGTAACATATTTTTATTATTATGAAATATTTTGATTTATTTAATAATATTATATTATTAAGTACGTGATGTTATATAGACATTTCTTTATGTTTCCCGACTTAAATATGTCATCATGTGATAAATATCTTCGTTATATTGAGTACTTCTAGAGTCTAGAGTCTAGACTATAATATAAGTGTATAACACTAAACAATTTATAATAACATAAAGAAACCTCAACTCACTTGAGTAGGTTGTCGAAGGCTCTAGGGTCGTCATCCGGTATGTGGATCGGGGTGCCTTTTTTCGACCAAGGTTCGCGGAGCATGGCGTCGAACACCGGGTATTGACATAGCACATCTATATGCGCGGGAAACCTCCAACATTCGGGGTCTCCGACTAAAAATATGACGTCACTGCCCGCTTCGTTGTTGTACAAATTTTTCCACCTGAAATCGTACAAAACTATATAAGTGTGTGTGTAGTTATGTATTTTATGGGCAAAGTACAAAATAGAGAGACATACTGTACTATGGCCAAGGAACAATTAATAACAATTTATTGTTATAGTTTAGTTAATTTTAGTGATCAGAGAAGTAAAATGTATACATTATTCGGAAAAAATGCACAATGACCAAATTTCAGTGTGCAAAATGTTAAGTTTAAGTATAGTACACATAGATCATTTTCAGAGAATGCATTTATTAGAGTTCTGCATTCGTATACGTGTATACATATTACATATAGGTAGTATCATTGATTATAGAATATAATATATTATATTAATATATAGTATATTCTATAATCAATGGTAGTATTAATTATTATGTTTCTTGATAAGATATCAAAAATATAGCAGAATAAACTATAACATATCACTTTTTTTTTTAAATTTGTATGCTATACTATTCTTTTGAACATTTTTATAATAAATATTCTCTGTTTATTTGTTTGTATAGTTGCATTATAAACTCATATATGTATACTTTGCTACTATTTTGAATAGTAAAAGTTACAAAGTCATCCTAATTTTGTTCAACTACTGTTTTTAGTTTTAAACTTAATTTATATAGTTGTTATACAAATACAAAATATTTTTTGTTAGTAACTATAATAGTAAGTGTTACAGGTGATGCATCATCAATGACATTGCAGTGACAATACAATTTTAACCAATTGATTATTAAATACATCTAGGTACAACAAAAAGGTATAAGAATTACACTAAATATACTTAAGTAAAATTATTTCCATCGATGTCATCATCACTGTAATGTATTTGGATAAAGATATTTTTAACATAAATTATAGGATTTAGTTATTATGTTATTCAAACAAATTAAAAGTGTCTATAACATAAAACATATTTTCCAAAATATGAATAATGTCTGAATATCTTGATTTGCTTGCAATATATAACATACAAATATTAGATATAGCCACACGAAATCTCCCATCAACTTTTGATTCTGCGACCATCACATATTATATATTGTAGTAAAATATGTTATAAAAGGTTCAAGGACCGCCGTCACGCCGGCGTTTCAATAAAAACGTATTCGTCATCGTCATCTACAGAGTTATTAAGATTAAGTTTTTAATGATAAAATATAGAAAATATCGGAAGAAAATAATAATTATATTACTAGTGTATACACTAATATAACTATAATATGTCATAATAAAATACATAATTTATATAGGTACATCGAATAGTGTTCATCAATCACAGTCGTCGAGGTCGCGCACCATTGTCAAAAATTAACAAATACCATTTTTTATTACATGCGTGTATTATTAATAAAACGATTAAAATATAAGTTCATGATATATTTTTATTTATTATTAAACGTGAACGTAAAATACTCTGCATTCTACACGCATGGAATAATATGCATCGACTATATCTAGATCAGTTAATAATATACAATACATACAAATCTTATTTTAGGTGTTAGTGTAACAAAATAATAATTACAAGCTCTTATTCGAGTAACTATTGATAGAGCACAAAGATTCTTTTCTACATTTTAACAAACCAAGAGAAAAAACAATTAGATACATCGATCAAGGGTTCAATATAACGCCTTAATGGAAAAATATAAAAAAACAACTAAAGTTTAATATTTTATAATTCATACGTTCACTATTAACTATGCTGTGATTTTATATTTAGACATTGATGCCAGTATAATATATTTTATATAAACCAAATCAATTCCTGTACTTCTAGGACGAAATAGCTGACAGACTATGTACGTATTATGTTTTAGAAGAATCGAAAACAAGTCTAATCGCAGCAAAATGCAACCACGAGTGTAAAAAATAAAAGAAATTACAAACCGACAGAGTAATTTTTTACCAAACACTAACAATCAGACTATTGGATATGGCGGAAGAATAGTTTAAAATAATTTATATAACGCGTGATAGGAGATTTTTCCTTTACATATTGCATCGATTAAGTAAACATATTCAATAAACACGTCTTATTAATGTGCAGTTGTTATTATTACATATAAAAAGAATAAAGGATACTGTGCACAGCGAAAACATCGAAATATAATATAAAAATAAATAAATTATGCACAAAAAGTCGTCTATATATATTAACAGCGGGATACTTTTTTATTTCCCTATGCAATTATAAAAAAATTAATTAGTTTGTAAAAAACCAAATTATATGTATACATTTTTTTTTTTTTTTTAATAAGCACCATTTTGTTGAATGTAGCCTCCGATTAATGCAACACGACTCGAAATCATTGAAACGGTTAAAAGCAGTTGCACACTGCTATAATATTATAGATATACATAAACTGTATTAAACTGCCGAAATCGTATATTATTATGTTAATGGTACTCATGCACATTAAAAAGTAATTTTAAAACGACGTTATGATTCTAATACATGTTTAAAAATTTATAAATATATATAAATACTATAAATATATAATAGTATTGAACAACAATACTGCTGGAGATATATTATCGTTATATTATTATGATTGAATAGCGCAAGCGCGTCATAACTAGTACAAAACCAACACATAAACGATAAACGCTACGATAATATTTTCGTGGTTAGAGAAGATTTTTTCGTTACGAAGAAAATAGCCTGAACCGTTTGAAGATCTCCGCTAAGAAAACCCACTCATTGAAATCAGAAATACTTTTCGTCACTTTGATATGCGATGACAATGATATATTTATTTACAACAATTATAAGAGAACAGAAATCAGCTAATATTCTAAATGAAATTATTTGTCAGTAGACAATTTAAGAGATTTGATTATAATATAGTTTAATGAAAAATACGTACACAGCATAAGCACACAAATACACAACGCAAAAATTAAAAATGTTATAAATGTTTAAATCTAACAACGACTTCAGACTAAAATATTGTATTTAGTATGAAAAGATGTGTGTAATATGAAATTAAAAAGTAAGTAATGGTTTAACTGTTTTTTTTAATTTTATCGTTGATTGATTGATTGATTCATACATATTATTTTGTAAAAATATCTTTTTTGCAAATTATAATAAGTTATGGGAAAAAGTCGAAATCAGGCAAACCTCAGAAATACCCGAGCGAAACGTGACTGCTTACGGTACTTAAGCAAAACGTCGTACTTCGGCTTTTGCCAAAGTAAACCTAGTTGTGATTAATCTTATTTATGCAAAACCGTAGACCTAATTTTATTGCGATTATCAATGAATACGGGTCAAATTTTTGTTATCATCGTATTTTATCTGTATGTGTGTAATGTGTAGGTATACAAAATACGCATCATCTAATTGATATAGTACTGCAAACGAAAAAATAATGACTATATCATTATATTTTATTTAATCTTGTATGTAAGCATCTCAAAAATATGTTTTTATAATTAAATGTACTAAATTTTTTAATTCTTAAAATTAATATTACACCTAATATCGTTATATTTTTATAAATATTTATACATATTTAATCATACTTAATTATATTTGAACAATAACATTTATCTTATAATTATTTATATTTAATACGCTTTAATGTTAAATGAGGTTAGTCAAACTAGGTTTACTCGGATTAAAGCCGAAATTGTGCTCAAGTATCGTGGGTAGTTCGCGTTTCACCCGGTTATATCTAAAGTTTACCCGACTTCGACTCAGGGTTGGTAATATACGCGTATAAAACGTTTTATAAGTTACACGTATAAAACGTATAAAACTAAATAACGACTAAGATATACTAAATTTCCTTAAATTTAGAATAAAATTAAAAACCAAGATTAATTTCTTTTTTTATAATTATTTTTTTTTTTTTTCTTTATTAATAAATACACAATCTATACACAATCGGCACAATAAGAGTATGAGCTTTAGACAATGGAGATGAAATTTTGATTGAAGAAGCCACCCGCCGATGACACTTACGTCTTTTAATTTTTTTTATAATTATAAGTTTAAAGTTGTAACAAAAACATATATATTTTTATTAATATAAAAAATTATCACAAATGTCTTTTTTGATATTATAAAATAATAATTATTAATTATTAATATTAATGTAGTTTATTAATGCAAAATAAAGATGAACTAAATAGTATTTAGTAATTAATATAAAAAATTATCACAAATGTCTTTTTTGTTAAAATAATATAAATAATAATGCCTTTAATTACCACTTATAAATATCAAATTTATTATCAATTGACAATTATTATTATTTATTATTATATATATTTATAACTTGATAATAGGTTCAATGCAGCAAAAAAAAACTTTTATACAGTATAAAACGTATACAACTAATTTGTTTTATACTGTACCTACGTTTTAAGTACGTATAATATACGTGTTTTATACTGCACTGTATGTCTGTATTATACGTTCCAACCCTGCAGTTCGACTATTATCTGTAATTACTATACCAACTGTTAACTATATGAATATATAGATTAATAATACAGTATATGTTATTATTCATATAGAAACTTTGAATGATTCATATTTATGCATATGGTTTAAATAAATTTTGGAAGGTGTAGTGCAAAGTTACCCGCATTAATGTTAAGTTTAATGTAAGTAGTGTATAGTACGAAAAAATAAATATCTTATAATCTCTAATAGACTTGTGTGTTTATTATAGAAATCTGCAATATACTAGGTAATTCTTTAATCAAACATCACTCATTATCTCAAAATATATTAACGTTTTAGAAAAATACTTCTTACATTATTTCCTGTCGAAATAAAACAAAACAATTTTTATGAAATATATTTTTTAATATTTTTTATCATTATAAATTTTCAAGTTTTATATTTTTTGAATAACAATATACATTTTTATTTTCATATTCTGAAATAGAATAATTTTAGAGTTTTTTTATGTATATAAATCGAAATTCGGACATGTAGCTTATGAGTTATAATTATTTATAGTTTTGGTGAGCGGAGTGGAGTGGTTCAGGGAAACTCTGCAAAATGTTCGTTAACTACTCCGCTCACATTAACTTTAAATAATTATAATTCATAAGCCATTTGTCCTAATTTCGATTTTTATGTATCAAAAAAAATAAAAATATCCTGTTTCAGAATATGACATTAAAAATATAGTTGTTTTTTAAAAATGTCGTTTTACATTATATTTTCAAAAACATTAACAGATTTTGAAATAATGAATGTTGTTTTATAGAAGAATCGTCATGTATAATACTTAGTAATAATCAGCTATGGCTTACATTAAATTATTAAAAGCACATAGTTGATCAACATTTTTATTTTAAAAACCGTTCTAATTAAAAATTAGTAATAAACAAAAGTCAAAGATAATTTAAATTGTACAATTATATAATACATACATATACGAGTATATGAATAAGAAATATATTATGTTGGTAGATAATACTTATACTTATAAGACGAAAAAAATAAGAATTAATATAAGATTTTGAAAACAATTTATCATGGAGTATATATTATGTACCTATATTACAATTATATAATATTCTGGATATTTTTCAAAAAAACGTAGGTGTCTATCAGTATACAGTATTATACATTACGGATTTCGTACGGTATATATTATGTGCATATATATAGGCAGGCAATACAGCTCCTTCAGTAGGTAATAGTAATAATATTGTATTGAAAATTGAACAAAACACCGGATTCCCATATAAATATATTATAAAAATATAAAATATGACAATAAGAATCTGAATTATACATGTCTCGATGCAGGGGCGAAAATAATGTAAGTATATATATATATATATATATATATACATAAATGTCGATCGGTTTATTGACAGATCACAGACGAAAGGGAAGACGATTACAATGTGTATGAAGGCATTTAGAATCTATATGATGAGGTATTATAATACGTATAAAGCTGAAGTACCTGCAGCGATATAATTTTACAACCGTGACACCCACATGAGAGAAAATAATAAATATGCTAAAATTTGCAATATCGCGGGCGGTATTCATCCGCGGTTAACAGTGTGTATTATTATATAGGTCGTACCACGCATTGGCGTCCAACCATTGATAATAGTACAATAATCTTTCATCTTTATGGCGAAAAGTATAAGGTCGCATTCCTCCAACGTTATAATAATAACAATAATATATAATATATTGTCTCGCCGCGTCTGTCCCGTATTTCTGCACCCCTTTCTACCATCTTTTCTTTTCGTTTTTATTTGCAGGGTGCGAAGTTTTCGCGATCTCCGCACTTGACCGCCGATTTTATACATAATACACAACATAACGGTACAATACCACGTCGTAGGTATTATTATTATTATTATTATATATACATATGCCACTGCAGGGTCTCACACAATACACACACACACACATACATGGCATCACAGTGCTAACAATGTATATGTAGAAAACGAGACTCGTATTATTATTAATGTCCATCACAGAAGCGAACAGAGATTCTCAAAACAGTAAACGCATACAGAGTATATTATATAATTTATAATATACTTACGGGGAGTTCTGTAGTTTTTTACCATGAACTAGTCAATTTAATCATATTTTACTACTATAAATATGTATAAATGTTAATATATAATTATAATTTATAATAATAAATTATTGACACAACTTTCAAGCTGATACAGATAAATATTAATATACCGCATGTGAAAATAATATTTAACCATTAATGAAGTCCTTCCTTACCCCCCTATGGTGTACAATTTATAATTTTAATATTATGAATAGAATAACAATAACTTTTAGTAACTATAATTGTTGATCGATTGCGCAGTTACAAATAGTGTAGATTGTAATACTGCATTATGGTCCCTAATTAAGATGTAGTAAAATCACCCTGTATAATATAATATACAACATATACATTATGTGTGCGGCCATAATAAAATATGACATAGATTATAGTTTATTATATTATATCTTACCTGCCGTCTTTTGATGCATTCTGCGGATACATGATTTTCTGCGACAACCCGCGATTTTCGACCAACGGTGACCCTCGATTCTCTTTTACTGCAATAGAGGAAGATGATCTTCTGGTGGTACCACTGTGGAAATAAAAAATATATAAATTCTCTGACCTTGATGAATATGTGTTCTGACTACACGATATAGGTTTTATTTTTTTATAACGCTATATTTTTTTTTAGGTATAGATATTGTATTTGGTGAATTATAAACAAGCGACTTAAAAATAAAATAGATTTTTACTACCGGCTTAGCAGTAGGGTTTCTAAATTGTATGCAACAAAAGTGATGGAAATCACTTAAAAACCCACATATAATACCTATAATTTTTGTCAAACGAAATTTTGAAGAACCTATGCACTATACAGTATACACGTACCTATAAATTTCGTTTATTTTCATATAGAATCAAAATTTTAAAAAGTTTAAATTCCAAAATGTGATCATTTCCAATTTTTGAATAGATAGGATAAAATAAAGGTAGACGACTTCGTTAATTTTTAAGTATTGCATTGCTTCTGTATAATAAAAAATTAAATATTTTATTGTAGTTAATTCAAATTACAAATTATAAAACAATTTATATTAGACGATATTAAATTAAAATATAAATATAATTCTAAAACCAATTGCTGTGGGTTAACATCTAGATATATGAATATTGATTGTATCTTGTAAAGGATCATATAATACCTAATGTCCTAATATGTTTAATTTAATCAATATAATTTTTTAGAACAATATTTAAAATATATAAATCCACACCGGCATTAGATAGTTATGTTTTTGGTCCATTAAAGGAAGCATTATGAAAAGGATGATTGTATCAAACTTGTGTCAAGAGTTAGGCTTACTTCAGTTAAACAATTTTTTTGTTCCAAAATTTAAACTAACTAGTCAGATGTTGTAACTAAATGTATTAAAAATAATAAAAACTGTGGTGAAAAATAGAGTATAAGTTTTAATTTAGTTAATATTCAATAAGTAACTTTATTTATATTATTTACTCTTATTATTATACAAATTTTTCCTTACAAAAATGTTATATAAAAAACAATTATGTGAAGTTGAGATTTTTTTAAATCAAAACTTAAAAAATCTTGTATATTATGATTAATAAATTTAATTGATTTATTTGATCTTAATATTATAACTGTATTCTAAAAAATTCAAAAACTTCGATTACGATAATTAAACCGTTTTAAATACAATACGTTCAGTGTCGCTAAACTATAATCTAACCTGTAAGCTGGAACCGTCAATTAATAGAATAACTACTTTATTATTTCATAATTGATTTACAGTATTCTGTATTCAGGAACATGGTGTCACCACATTTTTGTTATCATAATAAAAAATATGAATTAAATTTTTTTATGTTTTTAAAAATAAATAATAGAACTGAATATTATGAATTCTATAAAAAAAAAAAAAAAAATGTAAAACAATAAATGTTATCTCATCAAAATGTTAACTTTTTTTATGTTCTAGTTTTAGAAGTTATAATACATAATATAGTCTTTGACATAAGACTTAAGAGTACAATAACATTAATATATATTCAATAAAGTACAGGAGGAAATTGAAAATAAAAATAATACTGTTATTCTACCGACATTATTTCAGCAAGATATACCCCTAGCAGATGTTACAGCGGTTCCATACCTGCTGTAGCAGCAGGCTAAACACCGCTGGTGACTATCATCGTTTTCTGTTGTCCACGCGGACGTGTGAACAATTTCGCAAACATTTCGCACACAAGCCCCATAAAACAGATATAAATACATGCCGTTTCGTTAAAAATAGGTGATAGAATTAAATTGTCATATTATCCTAACTAGAGATGAATGAACAAAATCGTTTTCGAATATAAAGCGATCGCAAGTTAATAAAATATACATGTGTTATTTTTAATAAATCTGTATCGTTGTATACACCTTGAATCCCGAACGACCACAATACACAGTAATTTTTTTTTTCATTATATCTCGACCGCTAATTAGTCAATCGAGTTTACACTTTAGTGTGTACGTTTTATAATAAATAATAATTAGTATAGTATAATATGGCATGTGAATATTATCATCAGTAATATTTTATTTTTTTCCACGATCAATGCTGTCGTATTGTGTATTAAACTTTTGTATAAACAATAAATAAAACAATAAAACCGAGATAAAATGAGCTCGCACATTTTATATCATAATAATATAATATAATATAATGCAATGTATACGGGGATAAATCACCGTCTATGTTTCTCCCATTTTGTCATGTATATAATGGGAAAATAGCAGTATCCCACCCTGTATATATATATTATACTTAAACTTATCGAATAATGATAATATAATAATTATCGGAAATTCACACCAAAACACACACAACGTTCGTTCTTTCCTGTGTGTCTGTATGTCCACGTATACGATAAGGATATCACATCGGGGGCAATGCACAGGAAACCTCGCCCTGCACGCATACACATCTATATACGAGTATATTATACACGTAGAATGTACGATTTGTAATGGAAAATCGTTTCCCGGCGGCTGCTTCTGTTAGACATATATTTATAGGGACAGCATTGTGTGCGACGCTGTACATAATATACTATGTTACATAGTTTTTGAGCTGAGTATATACTTTTATATGTACAACCGAACACATTGACGATGAGATTTCATCTGGATCGCGATTCACATTCGTTTATACAAAATTCCAGCCTCCAAGTCCGTGATCATAACAGTCTGCTGTAGCTATACAATAATGCACACACACACACACACACACACACACACACACACACACATGATCGCTCTACCGTATACATAAAATATTTGATTTGCTAATGTGTCTGGCTGGGGTAACTCCTACATTTACAATATACATATTATATAAACAAAAAGAATAGGTAGGTAATATAGTACGCGTATATATAGTAGAGTATACTCATATTATAATGCTGCTGCAGCAGACGTATTTTTATGGAAAAATATTGAAAACCTATATATTGATTTAATGTGTACCTATTTATATATATATAGTATAACATACATCAAATAATGATAGAATTATGCTGTATTCACATTTCAGACAGGTATTTTATTTTAGTAGATATATATTATACGCGGTACGGTTTCAAAAACCTAACCTAACCTTCTTGTTCGCGCTCGTTCTAACTGTGAAACCTGCACGTAATTTAGTTGAATAACAAAAACTAAACGATCCGCGCGCGATTATGAAATAAATAAATTATTTATTAGATGCATTTTTTTTTAACGGCGTAAATTTGAATATTAGTTATGATTTATGAGCCTTTGATTTTTATTATATAGGTGAATAGGTTATCAAAACAAAACAAATTACAATTTAAATATATTTTTGGTGTATTATTTTATGTTAATATGTTATATAATACAGCATAATTATAGCTATAATTGTTTTAAAATATCTTTATTACATTATAATATACATAAAAATAATATTTTTATTAATAATTATATTATAAAATACTTATTAATTGATCAAATCAAATAATATATCGACCATCGATTTTTAATTACAAAATATGGGTTATATTTTACTAACACTTTTTATGTAATTATTTTCTATAGGAAAAAACATGTACTTATCAATAGTTACTATTTACTTAGTGGGAATAGTGGGATTACTTACAAAGTCACAAAGTGTCGAATATTAATTAAAGAAAATTATAAAGTTTTCAACAACGTAGTACAATCAATAACGTATAGGTACTTAAAATTAGATATTATTATATTATTATTATTATTAAATTATAAATTCAATTTAATTTAAATAAAATAAAAATAATATCTACTGAATAATGTGAATATACAAGCCTGATAGATAGTCCCGCAGAGCCAGAATACAACTTTTGACGCTTAAGGACAACCATCGTAGTATATTTTGTCCTTGTCGCTTTATTTAACCTTTATCCCTATTTAATCTGACATTGACCTAGCACCCTATCAGTTATTAATATGCCAATTTAACTTTTTTTTTTTAATATTATATATATTATTTTAACAATATTTTAATTTATAAGTGTATTATACTATATTTATTTCTTTTAAGGAAATGTAAAAATAATATTTGTCATATTACGTCTTGCGTATACTCGACGGTTTTTAATTGAGCGTGTATATATTATATTATGCTTATTGAAAGTCTATTGAAATAAAATTTCTTAACCATTTAAAATAATTATAGTGTAAATTATTGGTAAGCGGGGAAGTTTAAATAAGTTTGTCTAAATATTTGGTTAAAGGTGTATCAATAGTTTAAAAATACCATAAGAAATCATGATTTACAGCATTCAAATTATCTATATATTTTGCAGCTTGATAATATATATAATTGTATTATGATTTATGAACAATCATATTATTTTATAATATTACATAATGTTTTTATTTACTTTCATTTGTTACTAGATATAGGGTATAGATACTTGTTTTACAGCAGACTGTACTTTTTTGAATAGAAAAAAATACTTTTCAAATAACTACCTAGTGTAAAAGAAGAGATCTGAACATTTTATGTAATTTACCGATATTCTATTTAAAATTTAAACTTTGAAAATATAATACAAAATACAGATAGTAGCAAAGTACTATGTAAACTGCTTAGTAATTTGAAACGTAATTTATTGAATACTCAAAAATTATATAAAACCGCGATAATTTACAATTATCAACAATGGTGAAAATATTTTATGCTGAAAGTTTCAACAAAACCTAATCATTTTTTGGTTTACCATTGGAAATCATTTTTTAATTCAATAATTAATCAGTACTTTTGATAACTGACAACTCAACCAAGCCAGGAGTTTTCAAATTATGTCATTAGAATCCTCTTTTAACTATTTACAGTAATTTAAAACATTTTTTAGAACGAGCATTGAATATATTGACACTTTAAGAACACATACAAATATTATTTTACATTTTTAAATAGTATCATGACATTGGTTTAAGAAATTATTTGTTAATTATAATCGTAAAATCGCCAATTGTTGCAGGGGTCATATAATAGCGTGTAAGTACCTATAAATACTAAATAGGTAGTATTACAATTCATATAGCTTAAACTGCGCGCGCAACAATATACATTAATAACCATTGATAGTCTGTTTAAAAATGTCTAATAAATAAAGATGAAGCTAAATAATCTGTCTGCAATACGTTGAAAAATCGTTCACATGAATAATTATCGTGGCGACTTGTAGCAGATATATAAATATATACATATATATATATATATATTTATTATCGTATATCATTATTATCCAATTGCGGGACACTAGGTACTTGTAAAATGATTCGTTAAATAAACGCATAGCGCGTATGGGCTGTATTATAATATTATTCTTGATTCGAACAACGGTGACCGCTCTGCGTGTCGCGTGTTTTTGAAACGAAATTTAAAAAAAGAAGTATTATAATAATATAATATACATTATTGTGCACATGCGGACTCAAATGCTACATGACGTATAGAAAAATAAAATCACTATATGATATCTCCAAGGAAAATCTATACAGATTATAAATTTCGTAAAATTTACATTTTATTTTTTAAATAGTACCCTAATCTAGCCTGTTTTGTGACAGAAAAAAAAAGATAAAATAATTTCGAATTCTTTAGTTATTTATATTTATTTTAAAAAAAGTATAAAATGTATATTTTATGAAGATTTATTAATTGTTTAAGACTTATAGCTACAATGGCTATAACTAAATAAAATCATGATAAACAGTGCAGTAATTATTATTTATTAAATTAGGTACTTAATTTTTTTGTGATGCATAAGATTAAAAACAATAATAAAGAACGAAAATTTGTTAACACGGCAAAACTCGAAGAATATAAGCTGCGTCCGCAAAGGCTTGCAAGTCTCTGACAATTAACTAAAATAACGTTATTCGATGTATAGTATGTAATATACTATAAATAAATATGAATCTGGTGAAAAAAAATATCGGTCACTCCGCCTCCGATGGTACGCTCATGTATGCATGAATATCGCACGCAGACAACGACGCAGCGAGCGAATGCTGTGCCAAATTCTTTCGGAAGCTATTTCCGAACGCCAAGAAGACTTTGCGAGTATTATTTTTATCGGACACATCACTGCGGCCACCGCATTGATACATTTCGTAATAATATTATAATATTATTATATACATGTCAATGCTGAGCAAACACAATAATATTATTATTATACCTACGCAGCTAGGTCTTATTTCTATTACCTAAAATAGGAAGTTGATATTGATAATTTATAGATATGCGAAAGAAAGTAGTATAGAAGTAAATGAGGTAATGTTATTTGTTAAACAACCATGAATATACTTTTTTTCGATGTTGTCGATATTCTAGGTGGATGGTCAACGGGATAATGTGAAAATGTATAAATCAAAAACATTATAGGTAGTGTGATTGTTTAATTTAACTTCAACACAACTGCCCGATTTTGGTTCTACTAGCCTAATGGAATAAGTCATGATATTTACCAATGATATAAAAGTATAAACGCTAAGATGATATCACACGGAATCTGACTCTGCTGCACGAACCTCAGATACGTAAACGAAAGCACACGTATTATACTTATGAGCCTAAACGGACTTTGAAAAAACTATTATCTACAATGACTGCTCGTCGGCCGGTTAGTTTTTGTTTTTTATTCGTTCCAACGATACGACACAATAAACGGTTCACCTAAATTATAATGCGCTCGTATTTACATACGAAGTGGTTTTACCGGCAACACGAACATATTATATATATAGAGGTATAAACCAACCAATAACCGACCGACAGACCGACCTACCCACCCAACCTGACTGTATATAATGTTTAATACTGCTATACAATATAGTATAATATAGTCTATATACAGTCCGAGATGGCATGGCTGCAGCAGTGAAAACACAAAAGGCGAGCGCGCGCGCGTACTTCGTCGGTAATTACAGTATTTTCCCCCCGCCACTTACCAACCAACCACCACAACCAACGATCTTCTAATAAACGGTAACGAGAGCGGCAACGAAGAACGTATAATAATATATATATACAAATATTATATTGTATATACTACAATCTTAGTCTATCATCGTATTGTTTTATGCCTAGGACTGGATGGTGGATGGTTAATTTCTGTCGAAAAAATCTGATCGCGCATATTATATCATAAGGTACCTATTTAGATTAAGTGGTCTGTTTGGGTCTCGAGCTCATTGATGCTAAGTATAATCAATGATAATACAATATAGATGCTGAATAAATACATATTGCCAATTGACATGAATAAATAAATATGTATTACTAGTTATCCCCATACACTTCATTGCCAGTACAAAATACATCCGTGTTAAATTTGGTCACCTTGCGCCAAGATTTAACATAACGGGTGTAAATAAATAATATTTTAGGTTTTCTAATTTGGCGTATAGAGGATATTTCCAACATAACTTTACATAGCTATCTCACCTAGCATTGCTTTTAAAAATAATTATTTTTATTTTTTTGTTGTTGAACAGTCCAAATTTGATTCTCTTATCATTCTGGACTAGATGACAACAACTCACAACGTTTTAATGGTGTGAACCAAAAACAAGAAAAAAGTTCTGTATTATTATACTACATATATCAACTGTTCACTAAAATACTAATTTCTAAAAATAACTATTAATTGATACACGGACGAAAAAAATAAATATCTTTACATGCGTTTTTCCGATTTTTAAAAAATTAATAACTCGATTTTTCATTAACTGATAGAATCAAAAATAGGTTTAAAACCTACCCACGCAATGTACTCTTTCATTATAAAAAAATCAAGATTTATCAGATAAGTAATTACAGAAAACATGCATGGCAAAGATTTCCAATTGCACATTTATATACATAGATAGATAGATAAATATAGGTATAAGTACCTATTACCTAGTAAATAATAATTACGTAATATCCATAGAGCTACGGGTATTCCCGTACTTTGTATACAAAATACGATTTTGCGTATAAGATATAATTGCTCAAGCTGTATTTATACATACATTTAGCGTACTTAAAGTACTACATATTAGAACGTACAAATCAGTTGAAATTATTTTACTGGACTATACAATAAAATACTATTTTAATAATTGTAGTACCTAAATGTATGTGGCTGCGTACTTTCTATGTATGTAGTATATACTATTATAATCTCAATTATAATGTTCAGATAATTTATATAAAATGAAATGGTGAAGCAACGATATATTTTATAATGGCTGTGTATCATACGCGATCATATTCGTACTGGTTCAACTTTGTAGTTTGTACCAATAATAAAGTATAATGTACTCGAATACTCGATGTATAGTTAAGCAATTTTCAATTACTGTAATCTTTAACGGGAAAATTTTTTTGCTAATATAAAATTGTATGGGTCGGCGATGTTATTGTTGTATTCAAAGATTCTTGAAAAAAAAAACAATATATAATGGGTTTGAGAATTATAATATTTTATAAATTCGATATAAAAACGAAATATAAGCGTATATTGGTGTATCACATTACATACACGCTATACCAAAAATATATAATTGAAAGAAATATTTTTTTAATATAATATGCTGCTGTTGCATTAAGTCATATCTCTTTATTATAAAACAGAATATACCTTTTATAAATGAGTAGATATTATACCAGGTATTTAATTTGTGATTAATAATTATGTAAGTACCTAATAATTAAGTCTTAAGCATATCAATAATTTCTTGAATATTTATTTATTTTTTTTGTTAAATGTACAAAATTAAAAATTGTTTAAGTGTATTAAATATTTTTAATTTATATATTTTCAATTACGAATCCAAAAAACTATTAGTACATTAATTAATAACTTAGCAGCAGTTGCTGTGATATACAAAATCACATAGATAAATGAAATTATTCAAGAGGTATTCATTCAATTTAAATTTCATTTTCTTGAAGGAAAGTGTAAGCATTTAATTTAAATGGTAATGTAATATTGAATAACAATATTGCAAATATAAGAAATAATAAAGTCGATTATTGCACAAATATAATATAGTTTGTTTATTAGTAAATTGCTTATAATTTATGAATATTGGTCGTTATTTTGAGGTTTATATTTAATAAAGTACCTAGTTTATAGTTTGTACTATGTATAGATACGTTGTCTATACTGGGAATTCACTATTATAATAACGTTCTACTGTTAGAATTTAAGTTTGTTGAAACCCGTATCCTATAAGTAGATATACATGAATTGATAAAAATTAATTTTACATAATAATATTATCCTTATATAAATTGATTATGATAAGAAGTGTAACAAAACAATCGAATCAATCGTTTTAAAAGATCGAAAAATGTTGATCTTGTACAATTTTCGACTTTTAAACGCATTACAGTGGCATAGCGCGTGTCTACAGTGACTAATGAGTATAATTATCATGATTGATTTATCGACGTATTCGGTATGCTTACCTATCCTATATAGCCATATAGGCTATATAAAATATAAATATATGTATAATCGCGTATAATAGTTCGATAATAAATTATTGACCCGTTGAACAGCGAATAATTTATTGTCTTAGTATTATATATTTTTTGAACGGCAGGGAACGTATTACAATAATATTAATATATCGTAGTTCAAACACACCACGCGTAGGTATCTATATATCATAAAATTTATATTATATATATAACTATATAAGTATCAAATACACCATTTTAAACACACGAATGTTATTTAGACGCGGACGACACTGTCAATACAGGTACGAGAAATTCGGACGGTTTCGATACCACGTTTTATTAGGCTGACAAGGAGTGGATATAATATTCTATATACTACCTACACAAGTGCGTGCCCGCGATAGACGGAAAAAAAAAGCATGACAAATCTATCTAAAGGGACAGGATTTTTTTATGTCAACGAAAAAAAAAGAAAAGAAAAAAACCGACTCACCTAAGTCCCATGGTTGGCGATTTCATGTGCACGTTTTACAGAAATAATATTATGTAGGTATTATAAAACATACGGTAACACGAGTAGGTATGACTATAATATAATTATCAATACGTGCAATATTCGCGTGCATTTAACGTTCAGGTTACAGCAATGATACTGAAGGTCCGATCTCGTCCATCGTGAAAAGAAAAATATACTAAATTTTAAGTGTACTAAAAGTTTCTACCGCGATCTGAAAAATTTTAATTCGCACTTTCAGCGCATGCAAGCCGATTAATAAAAAAACAGCAATTATTCACGTTTGATTTTTATTCAAAAATTGACGTATCGCAATAATAATAATAACTATTATTTTTTATTATAATTTTGCTTTTTTAATAAAAATATATAGTCCTGACGATAACAGGCGCACTTGGATTCGAACGAGCGCGCACACGCGTCAATACACACTTCGTCAGACCAACACAGAGATAGTGGCGTCGACGGTGTAATCGCCGTACGAACGCCGGCGAACACACTGATCGGACGACGCGTGTCGTTGGGTGGACGACGACGACGACGATGCCTCCACTACCGCCGCCGTCGCCACTTGCGATAAGGGTGCACGTCGTCGCCGCCAGAGAAACCGCCTCCCCACCACCGTAACCGTGATCACTATGATTAGCGGGATGGTGGTGTGACGGCGGTGCGGCGATGGTAGAGCATTTGGGTTTTTATATCGTAAAATATATACCTGTGTAATAGGCATAAGTGTATAACATGATATAATAATAATAATAATAATATATATAGGTAACCGAAGCAACCACCGTCCACCACCGCTGACGACCGAGGGTCAACGTACAAAAAATGTACACACATACAATAACGTTTTTTACATTATTATTATTACCTATTATGTTTATGTTTACGCGTGTACATACATATTATATACTATTTTATAATAAATATACCTACAATGTACCAGTACGTGTATATTATATATTATTATTTATTACTATATTATGTGATTGTCGGCCGCGTGCGTTATTGGAACGCAATATTATACTTATTATAACGCACCGAGTCGATAATTACATATATATATATTTATATTTTGTGTGTGTGTACAGCACGCGCGACGAGCCGTTATTATTATTGTAACAAGACGATTGTACGATATTATGAATATTATGATTCATGATATATTTTTACTCGTGTAGGTAATAGTCAGAGTGGAGCACTATATTTTAAGAACCTACAAGTTTAATAATATATGTATAATGTATGTATACATCACGTTTCACGTGGAAAAGTGACAATTATTATAGTAGTTTACTTTGAATATATTTTATTATAATAATAAATATGCTATGGAGTATTAGGTACTGTGTACCATACGCCGGTACGGTACTACGGAGTACGCATTCATAGGTTAGTATATAATATAATCACTAGCATAAATATATGCATCCGTTCACAATTCATAAACAATAATATTGTGCTAAAGTCCCGCGTAAATACAATTTGTGGCACGAATTGATAAGAGGTATGTGTTATTTATTGGGGTATATATGTTACGAGCAAAGTAGATTATCGGGCAATGTAAACATTGCCCGGGCATTGTAGTACTACCCGATTATGATGGGCAATGTAGGCAAAATTATACTTTGCCCTGGCTGTATAGAATTGCCCAGTCTAAGTTAAACAATGTAAATCAATTCGCTTGAATTATTAAATTTACCACTGACACTGTTTTTACAGCTATTTTTTATTTATTCTATTATCTATTTTTTCTTCAATCAATGTTTCATCAACTTCACAATGATTTCCAGTATTCATAGATGTTATAGCTGCTTCTAAATCTTCTTCAGTTTTTAATTTTTTAAATATTGATATTGGATGTACAATCATGATGTAAAATCATCGTTTAATCTACTTTTTTCACTACATCTAAACATTGCTTCTATATTCTCATACTTTATAAAATATAAATATATAAAAGTGCATATATAACTTCAAAAATATAATATGCACTAAATTGACTGTAACCTATCCTCCTCGTTATATCTACTCTTTAATTGTTTAACAAATTAAAAAAATATATATTCTAATAGAAAGTTTTGTTTACAGCTTAAGTTACAATGCCCAATTTAATACGGGCAAAGTAACTTGAACCGGTCAAAGTACAACCCTGCTTGGTAAAAATAATATTTTTAATTTATTATCCAAAAATACTGTGCAAAGTATACATTGCCCGATAGTCTACTTTGCCCGTAATATTTACATACTATAACGGGGCCTGGAATTGTAACAAAAAATACTAATTAAAATAGAAAACCTGAAACTTACCAGAATCTTTTTTTAAATTATCTTAAGAATCTAAACTAGAATCGATATTATTGATATTTTCTAGTAGTGAATTTTTTTTGTTTATTGAAGGTTTTAATTTAATTTATTTAAGTAATAAATTATATAATCAATAAATTATTTTAAGATACTATTAATCTAACACAGAAATTATAAACATTTAAATTATTTAACATCTATAACATCGATTAATAATTATTTGTGATTTAAACTTAAATCATATTATTATTGATATTAATTATGTAGCAAGAAAAATGTATGTTACTACTTACTAAAGTATATGTGTTTTAATAAAATATAAAAATATATATAACTTCTCATTTCTATCTAAATATAGTAAATTGATTTATTTTATTATCAAACTACTTCCAGATAATGTTTGAGTTCAGATATCTTATCTATATCTAGATAAAAATTTATTTGAGCACAACACTGATAGGTATGTTTAATTTTAAGTATTAAAAGTAAAAAGCTTATTTAAATTACGTGAAAAATTATAGAGAAGAATACAGCATTCTATGTGATAAATATGAAAAACGCAGAGAATTTAAGTATGATCATAACGACTAAAAATAGTTATTTTCGTATTCTATTTTTACAAATATTATCCATATAGTTTTCAAGTTTAAAATTGTTTTTATAGCAAAATCGTATAAAATTACTTTTTATTAAGTGTCAACTATCAAAGTAGTTATTATGTTGTATTTACGAGTATATGTACCAAATACCTTTTATTTTTTATACAGTCATCCATGATACATACATTTAAATAATAAAGATAGGTACCTACTAGTGAACTAGTGACAGTAGAGCCTTGATGATGGTCCGGACAAATTCAGACCAAGCATCGTCCAGATTACCGGAGGGTTTTTAAAATTACCTACTCAGATGACTAAGATTTTTATTTTTAATTCCACCACCTTAATATTTATTGCACTTTAAACTACAAAAATAATAAATAACTTTAACAATTTAATATAATGAATTCCAAAAAAATGTGTTTAATAATAGAACTTAAGTATAGTGGTCAATATTTTTTTTATGTATAATACTTTTAATTCCGAACAAACTACAAAATAATGTATTTACAAACAAATGGACTTATGCCGTCCGGTTACCAGGGATCCAGACTATCAAGGCTCTACTATTAGTGATAATTGATAAACATGAGATATTTTACATTATTTTCTATTTAAATCATTAAACAAAAAAGTATTTAAAAAAATATATTCCCACGACTTATAAATGCAACGTAACTATAAAAATAACAATAAATCTACAAAAGTCATAACAATTATTAACAATCATAATGTATTTAAATTTTAAAACATTAGAAATATTTAATTCTCGTATGGTAATATATATATATATATATATGTGTGTGTGTGTGTGTGTGTGTGTGTGTGTGTATATCGTGTCAATAAATTTCGCATTGCTTTCACAGATGTTTATTTAAAACATAATAATTAAATGATGTATTTTTGTAACATGATATTGAAAATTATTACAATCGACATGGCTCTGGTGTAGTGGTATCTGATATAACACTATTAATACCAAATATATGAACATTTATGAATAATTACAGTTAATAAAATATGATAATATTTACATTCGCAGAATTAACTTAAAAAAGTTTTATCACAGTATAGTAAATATAATTAGTAATATATGATTAGCATATAAAAATTAAACAAGTGCACAAAATTGCAGTAATCGGCCTATAAATGTTTATAAGTATTTTATTTTTATTTTTAAATTTTTAGAATTCACAATTTAAAAAAATGCTGTCCATTTTATTTGTTATTTAGCCCACTACAATGGATTTCAGTAATGTTAAACATATCTAGTGTTGTTATTGAATAACTTGCATCTCATACATTGATAAATAGTAGTAAACTATAGTAAATACATACATACAGTTATATATATAATAAATATACCTTCAATATTACACACAAAGTTGGTGCTGTTTTTGTTACATTTTTTTTTAATTTTAAGTTTATTTTTTACTTCATAATTCAAAGTTCAAACCATTGTCACCTCACAAGTGACGATACGTGAGTTGAGAATAATATAATATACATTGTGTTCAACGAAAAAAGTAAAGCGAAATATTCTAAACGTATGACCCTGAATTTCATTCGGATTTTTTACTCCATAAAGGCATAAAGGCATAATATTATACTCTTATTTTTAAAAAATTTTAATTTAAAAAAAAATTCTTCACATGCGCAGCAAAACATATTGTTTTAATTGCATCTACTTTTTTGAATTCGAATTTAAATTAAATTATTTTTTAATATCTTTGACATATAGTTTTCTTCTATCTTAAAAAATGACTTACTGTGAGTGTGTTAAAGTTTTGATTTATGCTTATTGTATTTATCATTATATTTTACAAAATTCCGTATGATTTTGCATGATTTTTTAAAAACTTTGGTGTGGTATAAAAACTAATAATCACTTAAAATTTTGTTAAAATTTAATAAACTGTTAAAAAATACATTAAATACCAACACACATACTTAAACACTTTAACTTACTCTCAATAACTTTATTTATAAGATAAAAAAAAACTTAATAAGTCAAAATTATTTTTAAAAAATTAACGATTTTTAATTTGAACTCATAAAAGAGAGGGTGCAAAAAAAATTTTGTTTTGCTATGCATAAACGAAAAATATTTAAAAAGTATTAATTATTATTAATTACTTTATGCAATTGAAAATAACTCCGAATAAAACTTGGATCTTGCGTTCGATATATTCCGTTTTACCTTTACCACTGAACACACTATAAAGTATTATGTTCAAATTCAATTAACATTCTAAAATTTTTTTACAATTTATTTTGTTTAGAAATTTTATATTGAATTATATTTTTTTATCAAACATGGAAAAATAAAATTAGAAACACAGTGCATCAATGTAACAATTTAAAATTGTAACTCAATTTTCATTCAGATAATTCATATTAATACTCTTTTTATAGTAGAAACTAATAAGTATAGAATATTTTATTAAAAAATAAATTAACTTTTTCGGTATTTTTATTAGCTTTAAGACATAAAAAAATAAAAATAATTTCAACCCTTTTAACTTAATATTACACAAAAATATCATATAATATGATGTTTGTATACTATTCAATTAGGAATTAATAGTAGGATGAGGGTCGTTTACTGTTCT